GAGGCTACCTGAATGAGTGGCTGTCCCCTGGTCTTTTTCAAGAAGAATGATTCATTATGATCTTCCCGGGCAGGAACCCTTCAGACCCAGAGGGCCTGCAACCTGGGGAAGTACTTTTGCTGTGTCTCTTAACAACAGTCCCAGAAATAGCCAGGCCAGGTGGCTGGAGATGATGAAGAGGCAGTTTTGTATGTCATTGTTTTAAGCAAGGAGACGGCTGTGGATCCTCCAGAGGAGGGGCATTCCAGGACTGAGCATCCCAAGAATGAGGCTGTTTCCTGCAAGGGGCCCTGGACCCAGATGGTAGAGCTGCCATCCAGGAACAGGCCAACCTCTCTGCTGCCCGCAGAGCCAGGGCATGGCTGTTTCTTCCAGTTACCCCAGTGCAGGCCCTGAATCATTTTCTCTACACTGGGGGATCCTGGGTTGGTAAGGATGGGAAGGCTGCTTTTCACAATGATTCCACTTGTAAGAGCTACTGATCATGAGGATCTGCTATGTACTGACTAGTGCCTCCATCGCAGGGCAGCACAATGAATGCCTGCCTGCAACCTTCTCATGGAATGACTAGGCAAGTTACCAACTTTTCCTAAATTCCATGGTTTGTTGTTTTGCCTCTAAAGGTGGATGGGTGAATGGAGAGTGAGACAGATGTCTACAGGGTTTTGCAAAGATTTGCTCCTCCACTGGTCCTCCTGAAGAAGCAGCAACTGGTGTACAGTGGTCACTGTGCTGAGCACTCTTACACAGAAGATCACATTTAACACCCCAGCAAATAACACATACAGATGAGAAGACTCAGGGGCCGATCATCCTCTGTAGTTGCAGAGCTAGGGACTATTACTGGCCCCCAAGCCTCCATGCTATCCAGTTGTCTACAAGGTCTCAGAACCATCTCCCTTGGAGGCCAGGCAGCTGATATGAATGGGTGAAGAGGACCGCTGGAGATGCAGGAGGGAGGGGAGGGGCAGGTGCCCAGCTAGGGCACACTTCTCCACTGCACATCACTTGTGCGTATGCTTATTTTCAAGTTCAGCTCACCCCAGGACAGCTGGCCAGCTCCTGTTCTCCTTTCTGGCATCCTAGCAAAGCAGAGGACCATGGCACCCAGAAGGTTCTCATCAGTACCCCAAAACAATGTGACACCCATCACAGACTGACATTCCTGTTCGCAGTGAAAGGTCTCAATTTGGACTCTAGTGGCCCCTGGCAGTGTATAGATCAGGACATTTCATCCCTCCACCAAACTTAACTGACTCACTGGGAGAACACAGAGGTTTACATTTCAGCACTAAATGTACTTAGCAACTTTAAATGTAGCAGCAGATGGGGGTGGGGTGGAGATAGGGAAATTGTGGACCATAACTAAGACAGGGGCACATTCTAGTACCCTATGGGTCACACTGACACATGCAGTCCGAAGTGGAAAGGAAACGCCCTACTTCCCACCATCCTACTTTCCAACCCAAAGCTGTTGCTGGAATTAGCAAGAAAGGTAACAGGAGAGTGAGATGTTGGAAGAGAAAAATTCAACCTGCTGACTCCCCGAGGCTCAGATTTGCACAGATGGCAGATTGATTAGAAGTCATGATGTCCCTGCAGAACACAATGAAATATTGACATGGCAAGAAATGCAAAAGTGTGTGCAAAAGCAGGTCCTGTCTAATACTGGACTCCAGGGGGCATAAGCCTGAAAGTTTTAAGGCATATTTATGAGGAAAAACACAAGAAAATTCTATCTGCTAGCTCTGATCTCCCCTACCCACCTCCCCTCCCACTAGGGTCCCACAGTGGGAACTGGGCCACCAGCATTAGAGCTTAACAGTGGACTGACTGACAGGACAGACAGAAAGAAAGAAAGAAGCACACAATGGAAAGAAAATGGCACATGGATAACAGGGAATGTACTCAAATCCAACACCTAAACAAGCAGTGCCAGGCAGGTACTGCAAGTGATTGACACTACCTAAATAGCAGAAAACCAGCCAAAAACCTCAGCACATGGCTGGGAAGGCAGGGTCAGTGTCCAGGGGACAACGGGAGACAGAGTGCAGAGTGCAGAGTGCAAGGTTACCACTGACTGTATCTGAGTGCAGTGGAGAGGGTCGACGGGAGTGATCAATTCTTTGGATCGTTCAAGAGAAGTTTGGTGTCTGGATTTTTTTTATGATGCCTTCTAATTTTTTTAGATGTAGGCAACTACTTCAATTAAGAAACACAAATGAGTAAGATAAAACAAGTAGGGGGATTAGGTTCAATCTACAGACTGTTTTCCAACTATGCCCCTAAATCTGGGCACAGGTCCTACACAGCTAGGCTCCCTGTGTGCTGGGTGGATACCCTGGGATTGGCCAAGTGACTTTTCTGGGTTTCATTTTTCTCATCAAATATTACATAAATTTGAATTATTATTTACATTTAATGGCAACTGTATATAATTGTACCTAGTAGAATGGAGATTTAGTGCCCACCTAAAAGGCTCTCAGAAAGATGAGCTGAGATAAAGCAGATGAAACATTAGGTTGGGGCCCCTAGTAAGTGCTCCATAAACGGCAGTATTGCCTTAGGAAACAAGCCCGCTGAGGTTCAGTGACCAATGACCAGATCCTTTAGGATCTTGAAGCAATATTTGAAAGAACCAATGAAAATCTGTCAGTATTTACAAGAATAATTATGTTTTGCAGGACTTATTTCCATAGCCAAGTTATATATTTTTTTAAACTTCAGACTTCTGCAGCTAGGATCTGTAGCAGAGAAGCCAGCCTATGTTCTATAGGCACACAGGAAATCGTCACATGGAGATTCACCAACATGGGTGAGGCTTGGCTGCAGTCCATCTCTCCTTATCCCAAAATGAGACAAACTACAAATTTCAACTTGCAATTCCATCTTGCTGAAAAAAGAAAAAGATAGGAGGGGTAGCTTACTTTGGACTTGTGAGGAAAGCCAAGGGAATAAAGCTGTTTAATTTCAACTGGATATAGAACAATGTTTAGTGGAAATTCTGGTCATATTTTGTCATTTGCCACATGCTCCTTTTTTTAAAAAGCTCATAAATCTAAATCTTACATTCTCTGTGCTATTAGCATGAAAGCTCTCTCTCACTCAGCACTGATGAGTGGCAACCAGCGCATGTGACACACCAGCTGATACATGTGTAGCTGTTACAGTCCAGCAGGCTGGTGCATGGTGAACGCTAAACTGAAGTAGCCTGAACTTTCTGCTACCTATAAGAGGGGAGGGAGAACACCTCAAATGTAGCAGTGTGACCTTTCTGAAACATTTAGACAAAAAGCCCTTACATACCAAATACCCTGGAAAAAGGAAATTAAAGTGTTCCAAATGGTGTCTTCCATATGGGGAACCAAATAGATCTCTTTTATCACTGCAGCATAATACAATTATGTGTTCTCACCAAAATCCTGAAACAATTAGGAAAACATAACCATTTTGGCTACAATAAGAGGACCTAAGCAGATAAGGGAGACCTCCACCAACGTCTGACTGCAAGTTCACCTTGGAAATGCTGGGAGCATCCTACAGAAAGAAGCAGAAAGAAGTCTGTTTTTGAGTTACAACAGTATCTATGGAATGAAACAGACCCCTGTTCCCTCTATGTGCCATTTAAAGAACCAAAGTGAAAGAAAATTTTATATTTTCCCAGTAAACCACAGACCCAGACCACTGTTTCTGAACAATGAGTGCTACTATGGCTTATATCTAAAATGTCCCCTAAATGGTTTGTGTTTTCAGAGGTGGGACTTCTGCAAGATGAGCAGGTCATGGAGATGCTATATTCATCCATGGATTAATCTGTTGATGAACTCGTAACTGAATGTGCTGTTAGAAGGTGGGGTCCAGCTGGAGGAGTCATCACTCTGTCACTGCCTGTCTTTCCATCTCTGTGTCTGTTTGTCTGTCTCTGTTTCTCCTTCCTAGCTGTCATAAGTTGGACAGCTTTCCACTGCCATGCTGCTTCTGCCTTGGAGCCTGTGAGCCGAAATACACCTCTTCTCCTTTAAGTTGTATATATCAGGTATTTTGTCTCAGCAGAAAAAAAGCTGACTAACACAAGTCTCAAACCATCTTTGAGAAACACCACTTTTTTCTACAGATTTCCACATTCTGGGCTTCCATGATGATAATATTTTAAAATAATACCACTACCCTCTGAGGCACTTGAAGAATATTAAAAATCAAGCAGAGGCTTGTTATTATGATTCCCCTAATTCCAGAGATGTGAATGTCTCAAGTTAGGAACAGAGCAGACTGATTATTCATAAGGTGGTAACATCAAAGTGACCGTTCCCTGTCCCATGGGACTGCCCAAATAGATGCTTCCCAGTGACAGGACCAAAGAAAGTGAGTAGATAAAGTCAGCACAGGATGTACCAATGTGGTATAGGGCAGGGGAAAAAGGATCTGCCATACACCTTAGCAAGCAGAGGGCTAGTTTCAGAAAAACATCAGCATCTGTCCTGTTTATGGACAATTTGGAACTAATAATTTTCTAAGAGTATACCATGTAAACTTATTTAATTTTTTTACTTTTATAAAAGTAAAGAATTTGGACCTCATTTTAAGTGTCCTCATATTTAGTCATAGTAATATGGAAATGATGTAAGTTGACAGCTCTGGGAGTCTGAGAGTTTTTCCTTGGGTCCATCAACCAAGCTTGGGGAACACTGATAGACCATTTTTGCTTTGGGATGCCTGGGAGCTGAATAGAAAATGAATCTTTGATTAAGATCCATAAAAATGTGGAATCCATGGAGCCCTGAATTTACCTGTGAGCCTCAAATCAATGATGCTCACCTACAGACTGTAGGGACTGCCACATACAGACTGTAGGGACTGAGGCTGAGCATAGCTAACAGTTCTGGGGATACCTGAGCCACAGTGTCTGGGACACCACAGAGAGCCGCTTCCCCCAAATCCCAGAGATCTGAAAAGTAGTGCTTGGAGGTCCCCAGGGAACATGCCCACATGACAGTACTCACACGAAGAAAGGCACCAGCTGCACCAGAGTCTCCTTCTTGGGGCTGGCAGCAAACTCGGGCACCATCTGAATGACTTTGTTCATGACATTGCGCAGGTAACTCTGGAGCTGCTTTCTCCGTTCCTCTACAAATTTGGCATCCTGATAACACAGACAGAACATACGTGCTTAGTATGACTTCCCCACTCATTCAGGAATGCCACAGTGTGTGCAGTAACCGCTCCGCTTCATCTAGACAGCATCACCATGCCAACCAATCTCCATGGCTTCACCCATGCTACTGGACTTAGCAAAGGGAAAGATGCTCATGAGGCTACTATCATTAATAAGTTGGGGGAAAGCAGGTCCAAAACCCACATGGGGTGAATTCCTATGAGCAAATAAATGAGTGAGCACATGAGGATGCTAATCTCAGGTACCAGTGTGGTATTGAGGGCCAGGGACAGAAGAATGAACATAAAGGGTCAATGCTGAGTTTCTCTCAGAGTTCACAGGCCAGAGAGGAAGATACAAATAAATCCAGTGATCACACAGGTAAACATATAATTATTAATCATACTAAGTGTCACTTTCAAGAGCATGTGGTTAATTTTTCCTTCATAGTTTTTAATTACGAGTCACTAATCACGGATTAAGAAAGATTTTATTAACAAGCAAACAGTTATCACCTTTTCTTGAGAAACTAGGACATGTGATGGAGGCATGGTCCCCTGAAGGGCTGATCCTGGCTGGGGCTGGGAGTAGGTGCTCAGACCCCACCACTCAGCATGAAGAACTCAGTACTCTGGACCCCCTCACTCATTCCAGGTCCCACTCTACCATGTGGGCCTGGCCTTTGTAGGCACGGCTGGCTATATGGGCATGTGACCTGTGCTGTCACAGAATCTGTGCTTGGACCTGTGTGACAATCTGCTGTCCCACCTTGAAAACCTCAACAGTTGTAGAACAAGGTGCCATGTCCCAATTCTACAGTGAGTCCAGCTTGCATACCTCTGCACTATGAGACCAGCTCATGACAAAATCCTGGGCAGCACAGGCACTGGTAAAGGCTTTCTCTGAGAAGGTGGTGTTCCTTCTGGGCTGAGGACCAAGTGAGAGAATCAAGGAAGAGCAGAGAAAGGGCCATGCAGGAGTAGAGCTACTGCAACCGAACAGGAACACGAGGAGAGTCTTTAACACACAAGGAAGCCCTATGAATGGGCAGAGCTCCTCTCTGCTTTCCCTCGGCTGGTAAAGAGCTGGTCCAAGGCAGGGGCTCAGTGATGAGCTTTCCAGTGCACCTGAACAACTCGCCTAGTGCCCTGGCCTGTGAGGGAGTGATTCTAGAAAACCCTGCCAAGACCTCAGCATGGCAGGGGCGTTCTTTTGGAAGTGACACCTCTAAGCCAACGTGGGCAGTTAGCACGCACAGACACAGGATACTCAGTGAAACTGGAACTTCAGGAAAACAGCAAGTGTGTTTTCTGTGGAAATACATCCCATATAGAAAAACTTGCCCGTGTAGTACTGGGACATACTTATACTAAGGGATTACTGGTTGTTTATCTGAAATGCAAATTTCACTGGGCATCCTTTATTTTTCCTGGCAAGCCTTCTCTGAGTACCAGGCGAAAGGAAGAATAAGGAAACATCTGCTGTCAGCAAAGGCCCCTGGGGTCTACTCCAGTCACCCCATGAGGAGCTGCCTCATGGGGATCTTCCTCCAGAGGGGTGGCAGCACTGAAACTACCATGGCCACTCCACTGTCACTGCCAGTGCAGTCACAGACGGGTGGCTAAAATCTCATGCAGCTTGTCAGAGGTGGGCTAGGTGGGAGCAAGTGCAGACATCTGGCCAAGACAGTGAAGGGTCCCCCAGCCCACCCTAGAGCCACTGGGGTTCTATTCATGGGGTCTGAAGGCCAGGGTCTGTTCCTTGATCTCTGCCATTAAGCAATTAGATGTTCTTCCTTGGGAAGGTGGTTAATGTGCCAGATTAGTGTTGAATGGAGCTAATCAGACCTAGTTTTTAATCTGCAGAAGAAACTCTTAAGGACAGCTGAAGAGGTGCTCCTGCAAGAAGACGTGGAAGGAGCTCAGCCTCGAAAATGACTGGTGAGAGTTTCCTTTTTTTTTTTTTTCTTTTTTTTGGAAGTGGATGCTCAAAATACAGAACCAGAAGAACAACCAGAACAGATGAGAGATGGTCCCTTCTGCTGAGCCACAATGGCTGGTGGAGCTCAAAGAGGGTGAACACCCAATACTGAAGCCAGATGATTCCACACATGAGTCTAATCTGCCCATTGTCACTCTACTGGTGCCGCGTCCTGCCCAGTCCCACCTGTAACAGCAACTTAGCAGAAATGGAGGCTACCCTGGAGGAATCCTTGAGTACCATTCCAAGTGCCATTCCTCACAACGGCCACCCTGGAGCCTATGCCGGTCCCGCCCTGAGATCATCCAGAGTGGCAGCAATCTCAGTTTCACAACAGGCAATTGTTACCTGAGCTATTCAGAGTGAGCAACAGCATCTTCATTTATGTTCAGTGCCCCATGCCCTCTGCCCTCCCCATACTGCATCCTTCCAATGTGCCGGAGGCTCAGGTGGGAGGAACCTGCTGGAGGCTCAGCAGCAGTGGGGCAGGGGCTCATGTCTTCCACAAAGGAGCAATCATAACTCCCTCAAAAGAAGTCTCCTTCAGCCCACAGACGGGAAGTTGCAAGCTTCCTCTACACCAGCTCCCCCAAATGAGGACTCTCTTCGTGGAAATCCCACTTCCAGGTCAGCTTTAGCAGGCGCCATTCCTGTGTGAACAGAAGGACACCTGGAGGGACACTGTTCCCCTGGCTCTCCATAGGAACCTCAGCCTGAACCTCTGCGCACAGTTTGGCAGAGTAGCCTGAGGTGTATAGGAGACCTCAGACATATTCATGGAGGGCTATGTTCTTTCCTGTGACTCTATTTTACTTATGAAAAATTTAAAGATGCCAAAACAGACATATGAATGTAAATAACCATTTATCTAATAAAGTCAGCCCTTTTTCATACTTGTTTCATTATTTTTACCTTTTTGCAAAGGTGCAAATTGAAGGTGTTTATAGTCATAATGGTATTTCTTAAGTACTTCAGTGTACATTTCTAAATACTTGGAACATTTTCCTATTTAACAACACCACTGTCACCTCTAATAAAATTATTGCTATCTGGTTGGTGTTATCTAATAGCAAGTCCATATTTATTAATGTCTGACTTTTCAAATGAGGTTGCTGCTTCTTTTATTTTTACAGAGGGGCAGCAGCTCATCTCAAGAAGCTGGTAACTCATCAGCAGGTTGAGGTGACGCTGCTCAGAATAGAGTCCCAGGGGGATCAGTGCAGTTCAGACTAAATGTGACCCACAGGGTATGTTCTGTATGGCCACGCTGATGTTTAAAAAGCATTAAAATCCATATTCCTGGTTTCTCTTTAATAAGGAGCAGCCCTGCCGGTGTACAGGAGTTGAGCAGCAGAGGTCCGCAATGGCTGGAAGCACAGAGCCACCATCCTTCCCAGGCTGCTCCCCCTAGACCCAACCCTGCCTGGCTTCATGAACCTGAGTTTTCAGTCCCTCACTGACACCATGTACACAGACAGTATGACTGGCTGGGGCCCAACAAACATATCCAAGAGGCCATATTATGTCCAGTTCCCGTCACAAAATGACATTTCCTGAGGTTGTCAGAGGTAGTGCAGTATCATTTCCCAGTTCTGGGGGCATGTGGCTGAACCAGCTGGAGGCTTGGGTTTCTCATCTGTGAAGGGAGAATAAAGTAGTGCCCCTCATTTGTGACAACCCAGGCTAAGCACCTGGTCTCGAGCATGGCCTGCAGACCCTGGGAGGGTGCGGGTGATTCACAGTTGTTTAGCTGGGATCCTTTTCCTTAAGGACTGTATATGTGTAGAATGGGGTAGGATAGCCAGGAGGAAGTGCAGGGATGTTATAATCCCCAGGCACTCAGGGAAGCTTGCAGAGAGGAGGACCAGGTTTGTAGGAGGGATGGAGAGGATTTTGGTCAGAGGATGCTGTTGCTTCAGCTGGCTCTCAGAAGAAAGGTGTACGTCCACTAGGCAAGCCAAGAAAGTACTCTGAGAGTAAAGGAAGGGTATGTAAAGTGGAAGGAATAGCAAAATGCAAAAAAAGAATTTCATAAGCAGAAGGTCAACTTGCTAGAGCAGCAGACAGAAAGGGCTATTTGGTCAGGCATCCTGTTTTCAGATCAAAATATCAGCATGAGTCCCCTCATGCACAGCTTTGTAGACCACAGAAAGAAGTTCAAAGGGGAATAGAAAGCCAGAGGCATTCAGCAGGGTGGCAATGGGGGAAGGAGGCTGCAGCAGCTTTGGTGGAGAGATCTTTCAAAAATTATCATGCCACTCTCTCACTTGGAATTTATCAATGATTCTCCATAAACTTTGTCCACCTCTCAATACACTGACAGTACGGCTCATCAGAACGGTTGTGATGCAGCTCAGCCTGCTATGCAGACCCAACCTCCTGCCACTCCCAACACCATCAAACTTCAGCATCGCTGAGCTTTCTGGCATCCTGTATACAGTCTCTAGATATCTTCAACCTTTGCCCTGACTGTTCCCTCAGTGGAAATGCCTTGCCACAGAGGTCTTGGTTCCTGTGCCACTGTCTCCAAGAAGCCCCCTGGACACAGCACCTAAGGTCATCCAGATCCTCTTTGCCCAGCCTGTTCATTCTTCTTCAGAGCACTCACTATGACCTGGAATATTCTCACTCCTTCACTCAGTGCATCTTACTCTCCATCTCTCCTGCTAAGTACACTGTAAATTCCGCATAGGCTTGGATCTTATCTGTCTGGTTCACTACTTCATCACAGACGCCTAATACAGTGCCTGAGGATTGTAAAAGACTCAATAAAACAAACACTTCTTGAAAGAACAAATAAATGTGGAAGGTGGATTTAAAAGAGGCAAATGAGGCTACCATTGAGAATGATTTGGAGGCTACTGCCAAGGCCCAGGTGAGAAAAAACAAAGGCCCTGATGGAGAAGCAGGATGGAGAAAGCATGGCTGGCCTGGAAAATAGTTCCTTGGTTCCCGGTGCCTCTGGGCAGGGAGGCAGAGGGCAGACGACCAGGTTGTAAGTGAAGTGG